GGACCTGTTGTATTACCGCTATGTGACCTATAGAGGCATCCGTAGACGCGCGGATGGTCGTCGCTGTCTACGCGTATCCAGAGGATGGACAGGAACCTTCAAGACTGCCAAAGCGTCCAGAAGAGATGCCCTCTATGACGTATACGTAAACTCCAGCCCGAGTTCCAAAGGAATGTTCCAATTTGTACCCTGGGTCGGAGAGATACGAAGTATCAGCCGGAGAGGCGTCTTGGTCAGAAATAGATAGGCCAGCCTCGCCGTCTCGAGATGGTAGTGGAAGACGTTTAGGTTCGAGTGAAGTCCTCTGATGTTGCAGAAATTCACGGGTAGCGTGGCAAGGGTCACCTTGGTCTTGTTATTCAGTTTGCCCTGAGCAGTTATTGTGTTTTGAGCCCCCCCCCCCCCCTCCCAGAATACGCGGGACAGCCTGAGCACCTACGCCTAGGAGTGGAGTTGCTTAGTCGTGGATGCTCAGCGACGGATTCTCCAGTGGTGCTGGTACCCTCCTGGGGTAGCCTTTCATTTAATTCCGTTACCATGTTGATGGGAGGGGGAGGTCTCTGGCCACGTGCACTCACCAGACGAAACGTGGAAGCAGAGCTTCCATTTCACGCCGGTATTTTGTGAGGTCGTGGTACCAATCCGGCTCGAGCCGGCCCATACGTGCAACAGCAAAAGCTGCCGCTTAGCTCTACCATTGTTAACTATAACGTTACTACTTTTGTCGACGTGCACTCAAGATTAGCGGAAAGGGGCATTCAAAGGGCTGTTAATGAACGTGCTCGTTTGGAATTGCCCGAAGATGAAGAAGTGCTTCGGGTAATAACCAGTTATCCCAGACTAAGCGTTCAACGGATTGCAGTGTAACTACAACTACCTAAGTGGAATGTATGGAGAGTTTTAAAAAGAGAAAGATTACACCCTTTTCATTTTCGATAAGTCCAAGACATTCTCGGAATAGATTTTGCTATAAGTTCTGTATTTTGTTCGTGGATCAATCGAAGTGTGAGACAAATCCGTCATTTTCTGAAAAAAATACTATTATTATTTTTTTTTAAACGTTACCCCCACTCTAGGATTTTCTCATGTGTCGTGGAGGCAGTTTACAAACATAAATTGCACAAGGACAAACATCCAGACCCGGAACAATTATTTGTAGGCCATACAAATACTTGTTCCGTGCGGGATTCGAACCCGCGGCCTCCAGCGCAACAACTGATTGTTAAGCCACTGCGCCACGGAGCCGTCAACTATGGACTGGCGAAGCAAAATCCATAAGAGCTGGCATTAGAAATCACATGATCATCTCTGGTGCTCGGTAAACCCACAAGCGGTGTGCTCAAGTTCATTTCAACACGAATTTTCGGTAAATGTATGGGTAGGTATAATCAACGATCGTTTGATATTCTGGAGTTTCTAGAGACACAGTTTGCTGATAGCCTCATGTAAATACCTTTGTCATACCGTCAACGTATATGGGTCCACCATTATGGTGCACCTGCGCACTTTTCTCAAGCAGTGACAGAATAACGGCCATTCGTCGTGGATCGGTCGCGTTGGTCTAGTAGCGTGGCCATATTGCTCACCCGACTTGACACCCTTGGATTATTTTTGTTGGGTCATATGAAGCAAAGGGTGTACGTCACAGTTCCAATCAACAGGGAAGAACTCATCATGAAAATAATGTCAGTCGCTGAAGAAATACGATTTGATTTACAAATGATTAGGCGCTCATCAACTCAGGTGGCACATGGAGTTTTGGCTTGCCTACAAGCTAGAAGTGGCTACTTTGAGCAACTGCTTTAGATATTGTAAATGTAGGTCAATTTTGTAAAATAATAAAATAAAAACTAATAAGAAAGTTAATTGTATTTAATTTTTTCCTATTTAGGGTTCCGACACAACACAATAATTTTTAAAATAATAGGCATACAGTTGTAAACTGAATGTATTTGTTAGCTTAGCTTAAATTCTGTCGATCTAATAAACAAATAAAATAGTTTGGAAAATCCAAAAGTGCACTTTTTTTATTCAATTTAAATGAAAATTGATGAAATCTTATAATCTTATAATCTAATCTTATAATTCAATTTCAATGTGTGTGCAGTTATTGTAACGTTAATAATAATATGGATTTGATGTCTAGCTAAAGTTATTAGAACGATTTTGTGTAGCGAAATTGAGGTATGACCATATATCGAGAGTAGAACACAACCTCGCGTTGTGTGGTGTGCAAAAACGGTATTCAGGGTTATTTTTTCAGTAATTTAGACTCTCTCTTTCTTCTTTTATCTTTTTCTTTGTTTTTTTTAGAAAAACGTTACCTCCACACTAGGATTTTCTCCTGTGTCGTAGAGGCAGTTTACAAACATAAATTGCACATGGACAAACATCCATACCCGGAACAATTATTTGTACGCCATACAAATACTTGTTCCGTGCGGGATTCGAACCCGCGGCCCCCAGCGTTCTAACTCATTGCTAAGCCACTGCGTCACGGAGCCGTCGGTAATAGTAATTTAGAATAATTTACATAATTTTTATTTATATAAAATTTTTATTTTAATTTAATACTATTTTAATAATATTCTTTGGATTTGAATTTTTTTTAAAGTTATTTGTATGTGAAACCACTATTTCGTAATGTTAACGATAAACAATGAATGAGTCTCTAGGATTAAAATTTTGAGAGATATCATTTTTTTGTACTTACGTAGAGAATATCTCAAAAAAAATGGCTGCCACATATAGGGGAAAGGGATTAGAACTCAGTGTGTAGTGTATTTGTGTTATACAAAAATATTTATTTCGGGTTTACTAATCTATACGTTCTTTTGTTTAATTTGGTGTAATTACTTTGTGTACTTTGCTCATCGATGAGGTCCAAGTACTTTTTGAATATTTCTTATATTACACACACTCACACACACAGACAGAGAGAGAGAGAGAGAGAGAGAGAGAGAGACAAACGCATGCACACTTACTCAAGCACACACGCACGCTTAATTATTAGTTGATAAAAATAGTGTAATCTCTATTGGCCTTACTGTATGATAATATGTATTGTAAATACGATGAAAACGCTGTATGATTACCTAAATAAATAAAATTAAAAAAAAATAGCTAAGCCACCATATAAATTATTTCTTTAAGAAAAATTGTGACGATCGGTCTATACGTAAGGTGCTTAAGGGCCATTCATAGTTTCTAATCGCACTCAGATTGTCTTCCGGGATAAAAACTAGTACTATCGAAATAATTCATACACACATTGTTAGGTACACTATTTTACGAATATCATAAAATTCACGAATATTGAATAAACATAAATCTATTTTGCCATTATTTCTATCAGACTTCATTTACAAAACATTTTAACATATAGTATTTTTATTGCCATAGTAGAGTAACTAAAACTAAAAACTTAAATTATCATACAGTCCTACTCCCTGCGGTATAATACCAAGAACGCTGGCTTACTTGACTTAGCTTTTGAGTGAGAAAAGAACCAGCCCGCTTAGCACCAGCAGCGACAACCAGTCACGGATACGGTTATATAACTGTTCAGTTCCTTTAGGAACTTCACCGCATAGTCCGATTGTCTCTACAGATACTTGTTCTAATTCGCATGAATTATGTACATTTATTAGTTATATTTTGCAGAACACATTATTGATTAAACCATCCCTATGCTATTTTCTGAACAAGTCCATCGTGTAATTTGACTTTAAAAAACATTTTACTAAAGTACAAAATGTACAAAAATAATATGCAAACCTTTTATACATTCTACAATAGTTTATGACTTAGAACACATTGCAATGCTTAACATAAAACTACGCACGAGTGACTTTCAAAATAAGATTTCATTTTCAATTAACATTTGCAAATAAAACTATTTATGACCAAGAAACAGTTCCTAGAGCTAACAAATAATGACGAATTTAACATATTTTAACTAGTGGGAGTGAATGCATATAAAATGAAAAAAGAATTAATTATCGTTTACATAATCATTAAATACGTAATTATTAAAACCCTAAGAATAATTTATTTTACTTTTAAACGACCTTTGTATATAAAATAACAATTTTAATCTTTTTTAGATTGCTTGTGAAAATATAAATCATTCGTGTGGTAAGTGAGTATTTAATTCTTCTTCTTTTTTTATCAACTCGGAAAAGTCCAATGCGAGACATTGATCTTTCTAGTTGTAATGAGGATTTGTTTTAATCGAGACGTTTGGTCGGGTTGACGATCACAATACCAGACGTTTGAAGCATTGTTTAAAGCATCTGGTATTAAACGAGATGGTTATACCACCATTTATCAGAAGCCTTATATGCTTCCAAAATCTTTCTAGAATACCTCATCATCGCGTCGCCTTTTACTTCGCCTTCTACTACGGGACAAAATAGGCTAATGACAAAATAGTGCTGAATGAAAATGATCAATAATTTTCATCCAGCACTCCATTTTGTTCCGTTTATAGGCTCTGGTTGATGGTGCAACAATCTATTAGTCTATCAACTTCTTTATCGTAATAAAACCGTGAGAGCTCAGGAATCTAGGCACTATCCACAGTCTACAGTACATAATCCTGTCAAGAACAAGAGAACCTTTGTGTCCAATTAAAGAAGTTAGCACGAGTTTTGAGCGCTGAATAATGTCGATGGCACTAATTTGCACAAATTTTTTAACCAATTATAAATTAATGCATGTACTTCAAACTCGTGTGGTGCTTGTACCAAAGATCACAGAACGAACATCGGCAGTTTATCGGGCAATGGATTAGAATCACTTGAAAAAAAAAACCGTTTGCTGCGTATATTGTCGCATGTGAAGGTCAGCGCACGTAAACCGCGCCGCTAGTTATGCTTTATAAAATTGTAATTATATTTAATAAATTGTTTGCAGAATGCGGAATAGCAGGTAAAAACAGACGCATAGTAGGCGGAACTACCGTTCAGCCCCATCAGTACCCATGGTTGGTAGCACTAATGATTGGTCAAAAACTGCATTGTGGCGGTGCGATAATAACAGATCTACATATTCTTACCGCTGGACACTGCATCACTTTTGGGTACGTAATGATATCAACTACTTTGACTGGTGTCTTCCTAATGAAAGGTGGAAACGTAAATATTGAATTGATTGTTTAATTTAAACGTAAATATTAACTTGGAAAGTTATTTTCGGTAGAATCTGTTTATGTAAATCTATAATTTAAAATTTTGTACAGCTGACTTCAATGTAAATTATTAAGAATAACTCAAAAACTATTGGTCTGACCTTGACCAAATTGACCTTAACCTTGACCACATGTGAAGTACCAGCTTTCAAATAAAAAAAGAATCATCGAAATCGGTTCACCCAGTAAAAAGTTATGCGGTAACCCACATGAAAAACATACAGTCGAATTGAGTATCGTCTCCTTTTTGAAGGCTACAGAAAACAAGAAATAAAATCAAACTTTGAAATAGTTTGCGACTTTTTTATTAATACACGTAAGGGTGACATACGAGTATATAGTTCTGTTCACCTGATGGTAAGTGAATTCTGTGCCCCAGAGATACATACATTTACATTTGATTAAAAGTGGTAAAATTTAAAATTTGAACAACCGACTTTAATTTAAGCAAGTGGTAAAATAAAATAAAATTGTACAACCGACTTCAATACAATTAAAATGAAAACGTCATCAATGTAGTGGAAGTCAATTAAATACTCATTATTAAGGATAACTCAAAAACTACTGGATCAAATATATAAATGTATATCACCACCAATTTGGACCACATGAGAAGCACCAGCTTTCAAATAAAAAAATAATCAACAAAATCGGTTCACCTATAAAAAAGTTCTGAGGTAACACATAAAAATATACAGTCGAATTCAGTACCTCCTCCTTTTTTGAAGTCGGTTAGAATTAAAATGCAGATGCGGTGCTTGTTACTCCTTAAGAATTAAGATGGAATGCCTTGATGACGCTAAAAAGATCCACCATTTTAAACCATTTTACCCGGTTTTCTATATCCACCATACAAAACGCAGAAGAATTATTTTGTTTTTTAATACTAGTCTTCTGTAAGGACTATTGCAGTCACAATACAGCTATAGCGTAGGTCTACAACGTACAAACTAGAATAAGGAGGCGTAATTTTTAAAAGAAAGGCAATATATACCTACATAGCTATAAATTTCAAAAAGAAAAGCGTTTTGAGTTTTCCACCCTTCCCTGTTACGCGCAATATCTTTGGCTTCACTCCACTTCAATTCGGTTTATCATTTATCTTTACTGGATGCCCAGGCATTTTTCTGAGTAAAAATGGTGGTATACATGCCACTGCTGGGCACAAGCCTCCTCTTATTTCTGAGAGGGTTTTAGGGCATGGAAATGCTCGCCGCACTGTCCCTATGCTTGTTGGTGAACTTCACATATCTTCGAAATATTTTTCTCTTATTTCTCAGGCATGCAGGTTTCCTCACGATATTTTTCCTTCATCGCCGAGAACGCGCTAAATCAGCACTTAAAATTACAATTAACAATTTCATTGGTTCCGTCGGAGATCGAACCCAGGCTGCTCGTATACTGTGAAATTTACAGTGAGCGCTGAACCCCTGAGTTATCACGGTTCTTCATTATAAATTGCTAAAACTTATTGACACTTATTATTAACATTTATTGCTTATTATACGTACAATTATAATTTTAAGATGGGTTTGATTATAAAACATTAATTATATTTGTGTCATTATCAGTGTCCATTTCCGTGATATAACGGTCGACGTAGGAATGCATGATCGACTGGACGCGTCGCATACCGTATTTCAAGTGGTGAACGGTGTAAAACATCCTAGTTTCACGTCCAACGCAGTTCGAGACATTAATGATATCGCCATCTTGACACTAGACAATCGATTAAAATTCTCCGATAAGGTGCGACCAATTTGCTTACCAAGTGAAGGTAAATTCATCTATTTTAATACATTTGTTTTATTAATTAACATAACATAACAAACTATCACGATTGTCAATAATAATCCGATGCAGCGTGGCTCTATCACGAAAAAATATAAGAAAACTATAACAAAAAATGTTTATTTCTGACATAAATGCACAAGACATAAAATGTGCCGTAGATTATTAAAATATTAAGAAATACAATTAAGAATAAAACATATAATAAACCAGTATCTACAAATCATATTTGTTCTCCCATAAACTCTGCCTATGATATATTTCTCTTTTATGAAAATTATCCATCCATCCATTACAGTCCACTGTCGAACTTAGGCCTGTCCCAGTTGGCAGTCGAGTCGACTGGATTCTTCTTCTTTCCGGGATCTCATGTGCACGCGTTCACTTAACATTTTAAATGTTAAGTGAACGCGTGCGTTTGGGTTTGTTTTTGCATTGTCCGTTTTCGCTATAGTGATATACAGTTCGTTTGATTTCGGAATTCAAAACAGTATGTACGCCTAGCCCGGCTCCAAGTCTGAGCGGTCAGTTGCTGCACCGGCGGTGAATTCCGTAGTTTGCATTAGCGATGGGTCAAGTTGCGCTTAACTTGAGTTAGTACTCCCTAAGGCCACAAACGCATAACCGGCTGGCCGTGATGCGGTATGCCGTAGTGGCAAGCCACACTTCGATTTTTACATGAAACCGCATGATGTCGATGCACTGAATTACGGCCAGTCATCAACCGTTCCAGTTGTCTTGAGACTGCGGCGGGCCGCACCGCTTACTGACGCAGTTAGCTGCAAGCCGCTTCAAGTCATGGATTTTGATACAGAAAAGTTCATTTTAGAAATCAAAGAATGGGAATAATCAGTGCGTTTGCTATATGTTTCAAAGAGTATTAGCTACAACCAAAGTAATTTGTTATTTAGAATTTTGTAATAGCTAAGTTATTTAAGAATATTTGACTGTGATAATAAAACTATTAATAGCTTATGTACTTATATATATGTTATTACTATAACTATGAAATTATTAAAACCAAAAATACATAAGTATATGATACATACTAAATACCTTTTTATTTCAATCGCATCTATTAACTAAGCTCAGTAATAACAGTTTTTCCCAGCCCACCAAAGAGTTAGATAGAAAAACAAATTTATAAAAAAGTAATTTGTAACAATTGTTTACTCTGTTTCGTCCTGCTAACTCGAGTTGCGCAACTCGAGTTTAATTCACGTTGCGTGGATTTCAACTCGAGTTAACTCGAGTCAAAACTTTTCCGAGTTCAACATCTATAGTTCGCATCGTCGGTTTAATTCTATTATTAGATTCGGGGTTTTTATTTGACCATCGCTTCGTGTGCCAGGCGGTTTGCGACCTTATTCGCTCCTTTAGGGTGGATAGGCCAACCGCTGTCGGTTCATCGGTCGTCAAAATATCTTTATTCATGTATATTGTAAACAAAACAGTTGATTGTTGTAATCAAGGTCGCGTGTTTAAAATCGATTAAAACTTTCAAGTATTTTCAAACGGAAAGTGATTTAAAGTTAGTTTGCGGTTATTCTGTTCTATTTTACTGGTAATTTTTTACACAAATACACTAACTACACTTCACATATTATTAGTTTAATTTTCTTTTGAATTGACGTGAATACGTCGTTAAATTTGCTGCCACAGTGCAGGAAAATCGGAAAACCGATACTAACAAAATCGGGGGATAAAGTTTGGTATTGCAGGTACATTTCTATCATCTATATCTAAAATTTAATGACACCACTCGATAGCTAAAAGATCAAAGAATTTATTTTCTTTAGTAAGGACGGCCAAGCATCGCGCGCTGCGGAGGGGGAAGCGCGGCCATTTAATATAAATTTTGACTCGGAGAAGCTACGACATTCGTTTGAGTTCCAATAAGCTTTCAACAAGATCTATCGATTGCATATATAAAACATTTTTCTGTGAAATAATTATAGTGAACATGTATGGTGTTAAAGTAAAAAATTAAAATAAACAACGCAATGTTGGCCTATATTCGTCAAAAAGTCAAATCAAAATGCAGAAATCATATACGGTTCGAAAGGGCTTCTTCAGAGCAATCCATTTATACCCATAAAATAACACTTTAAACACTTACCGCTCCTTAGTAATACTTTCCCAGGAGGAGCAGTGGCTGACTTTAAACTGTCCGGTATGTGTAGGAAATCACTGGACTCTGACAAAGTCCCCACGTGGTCACGTTCAAATGGATTTGTCTATCGGATTGCTATTCATAAGTCATTAATGTAACCATCGAAGTGGGCACAATGGTGCAACAGCTACCGCGTCATTTAGACATCGATCAGGTGTTCAATGTCAACATCTAGAAGAAAGTGATACATAGTCAAAAAGTCAGTGATATTAGCTTGGTTTCTATTCTTAATTGGTCAACCATTGTAAAAGTATAAGCACATTTCACAATGAAACAACTCAGCTTGAAGTTACTCAACAAGTTTGATATGTTATCTATCGCAAGAGACGCCAGCGTTGACGTTGTTTACATTACTACTATTTGGCAAAGAGAGACAAAAGACTCGCAAGCATAAGGCCGTGATGTACAGAGAATGATTGGACGAGGACTTTGAAAAGGCTTTTGACCGCGTTGACCATATTATCCTTCTTAAAAAGCTCCAGGAGTTAGGAATACGGGGTAACGTTCTCCGATGGATGGAATCATATCTACATAATCGCTCACAGGCAGTCGTAGTGGCTGGGCACCGCTCGAATATTGTGGATGTTCCATCAGGAGTCCCACAGGGTTCGATATTGGGGCCCTTGTTGTATGCGGTATACTTATATGATGTGGGCAATTCTTTTCATTTTGCTAAGTTTCTTATGTACGCTGATGACATGAAAATTTACGCTTACATAAAATCTGAATCAGATGCTTATAAGCTACAAAATGACTTATATCGGTTTTGCAGTTATTGCCGTGATAACCGTATTGGCTTAAATGCATCTAAATGTTTCCAAATTAGCTTTACTCGAAAAAGGAAAAAAATTATATCTCAATACTATTTGAATAACGTACCGTTAGAAAACACTGACAAAACCAAAGACCTCGGCGTAGTTTTTGATTCAAAAATGATAATGTCTGATCATATCTCAGCCATGGTTACAAAGGCTTATAGAAATCTTGGTTTTGTATTACGGGTTTGTCAACCTTTTTCAGACGTAGAATGTATAAAGGTCTTATATTATTCTTACGTCCGTAGTGTCCTGGAATATTGCAGTGTTGTGTGGAATCAAAATTATATAACATACATACACGAAATAGAATGAATACAGAAAAAATTTATTATGGCCTTGAATTTTCGATCTGAAAATAAAAAATTAAAAAATTATAAAGAATCATGTCACTTTCATAAATTGATGCAGTTGAAAGATCGTCGAACTTTACTGCAGATGCTATTCCTACATGATATCTGCAGTACGGCGGTAATCTGCGGTAACAAAATTGATAGCCCCGAATTAAGTTCCTGCACTTTACAACTACGAGCACCTACTAAACGCACTAGACATACTTCTTTATTTCATGTTCCTTCAAGTCGCTCAAATTATGCACAGAATTATGTAATATGTCGCATACTTAAAAGTTATAATAAAGAATTTTCTTCGACTGACATCTTCCACCAAAGCAAATCAATATTTAAGAAGGAAATTATTATGTCATTAAGCAACAGATAACACACACACACACACACACACACACACACACACACACACACACGCACGCACGCACGCACGCACGCACGCACGCACGCACGCACGCACGCACACGCACGCACACGCACGCACACGCGCACGCGCACACGCACACGCACACACACACGCACACACGCACACACACACACACACACACACACACACGCACGCACGCACGCACGCACACGCACGCACACGCACGCACACGCACGCACACGCACACACACGCGCACGCGCACGCGCACGCGCACACGCACGCGCACGCGCACACGCACACGCACGCGCACAAGCACACGCACGCGCACACGCACACGCACACGCACACACGCACACACATGCACGCACACACGCACACACACACACACACACACGCACACACACGCGCACACACACACACACACAAACACTCACGCCTTTCACCCAGAGGGGTAGGCAGAAACTATGGACTTCAAGGTCAAGGTGACGACGATAACTAAGTACTCTTAGTACTTAGCACTGTACTCAGTGAGGATGACACAGGCGACGTCAATGCACATTCAGTCACATATCCTAAAAGAAACCATTTTAGGTTTATACCCTACATATCGAACGTGATCCATGATATTGTGAATCACAAACGAGAGATGGTCACGATATATCTGCCGTTTCGCTGTGAGGTAGTCAACATAATTGACCGTAACGAATTTATGGAGATTTACGATGCCAGAGAGGCCAAGATCTTTGGAGAATATTTTTATTGATATCGAACGTATAGTTGAGGAACATCAGTAAATGAGCAAACAGTTTGATGATGAAAATCCATTGGGTGCCCGCAATCAGCGCGAAGAGTTTGTAAAAGGTAAAATACAACACATGCTGGCGATAAAATGCATTAGCCAAAACTGACTTCTATCGCATGATACGTAACACTGATTCCGGTCAATGAGAGATTCTTCCGGAGTCGATACATATGTATATCTAAGGCGTAACCGTACATTCTGTTTTCATACTTACACAATTGCATAAGACTTAAGGAGAGATTCTGCAAAGTTACAGAAATATGTTTTTCGATGTAAAATCGACGATATTATTAAATATGATTAAATATGTTACACAAAATCAACTTACGTCTGCATGAGATCATTGGCGCGCATGATAAACCGTTTGGCAGCATGAATGTTTTATTCTGCCTTTTGCCAACTGCCACCAGTTAACGTTATACACGTTTATCGAGCCCCACCCAATATGATCGCTGGTGCTACGATCTGGCAATCGTTAAACTTCTATACACTTCAGCAAATAATGCGACAAAGCGATGCTACGCTTTCTCCTATGTTTACTAAAGTCGGCAACGGAGAGTGACTCGATATTGATAAAATTAAACTCATTGAGTCGCGATTAAGAACCCAACAGTACTTCGATACGAACTTGATCGGCGTTGTGCGTTTGTATCATCAAAATCACAGCGTGTCCTCATACCACAACAGTGCTCTCGTGACAGACACATACAGCGTCACCAACGACACTTTGATCAGCTAGGAGAATCACATCAAAGCTTCTACAGCTTGGCAATAGCATGAATGTCGTCGAGGTGGGTGGCCTGCCTTATACGATCCAGCTTGCAGCGGGTTGACATTGAGAATGGTATAGTGAACATCGCGATTCATGTGTTAAAGTATATGAGGTTGCTCAAGGAAGACGAGCAATTTGCGAAGTTAGGGGCACAGAACGTAGGGCGGTGGGAGAAATCGAGTGGTGCGCCAGGTAGCGTGATAGGTGCACGTGTTGTTTACAATTTTTCTGTACCAGCGTACGACGATGCCACCGTCATGCTGTCACGGCCATGCTGACATGAACGTCCTCGTACGCAGCGACAGAATCATTATGGTTCTGAAACAATAAGCATCGCTCGATTATCCTGACAAAAATTATAAATTTTTACACATTCAGCAATATGTTCTGGTCCGGTGCAGATATTAACAATCACCTGTGGTCCGGTCTATATCAGCCCTTCATGCAATCAGTATTGGACTGGTTCCTTTGAACCCTGCAATACTAATGAGTTTTGGTCCGGCAAATATCCTTCAAAATTTTTCTTAATAGAATCATTATTTTTTCTATTTTCTTCTTTTTTTTTTCAAGTACCGTTTATGCTAGTCCAGAAAGATTATTCCCTGTATCCATATCATTGGACCGGCAAAAGCCCTGCTAATGTTAGTAAGAACCATTTTTTTCTTACTCTTTTTTTTCAAGTAAGTACTGTAGCCAAGACATTATGGAGTGGGGTGGATCCGATCCCACTTCTGATGTAGGAGAGCCATCCGCTTTTTCGAAGGGAGTCCCCTACCAAACCAACCTCAAAGCTGGTGTCCTACCCGGCCCTAGAAGACTTGGCCGTTAATTACAATCTTGTCTGCGACTTCGTAGACAGCTTTGACGTTAACGAGTTACGCACTCTACGCACAATTTCTCAGTGACCATCGGATAGACATATTGTTTGTGCAAAAGGTTTTCAAGCCGAGCATCAGAGATCCCTAAATAGTTAATTATATTAGTTATGAAAGACTGTAAAGGCGCACGTTTAGAAGGGACACTTATATAATATAAGTCATCCCTACACATCGTCTACATTGACACGCCTCAATTGACAAATTTAGGGGCCTCCGTGTGCAGAGTAGCCATGAGTGGTCATCATCCGATCATGGTTGCCTCTGTCTATCTTTTTATTTAAATAGCAAGCATAAAGTCTCACATAATGCTTATAACAATATGATATATTAGCTCCCCCTGGGTGTACTAGACATTCAATAAATATTTATCATAGCTGCTCTAAAATTGACTGAGGACTCTTTAGGAACGTGTCCTTACCGTTAGGTTCTATTGAAGTGATGCACGAGTTAAGATCAGACCATCGCCCGGTTCTCATAACATTGGAACAGCCCATCAGTGAGGTTCTTCTAATCAAAATTAATTTTAATTTTATTTATTTATTTATTACAAAAACAGTAACAGCATCATAAAAGTACAAAACCAAGACGATGCTGTACAAAAACCAAATAATAAGTGATAAATATAACTACTGACATAAAATATATGCTTAATACTATTAGAATAAAGAAAAAATATAAATAGAAAAAAAAATTATGATAAAATCTCACACACCCTGTGCGCCGCTTCCGTGAACTTTGCCAGGCTGCATTGTAAATGTCCGTTTCTTCGGAAATAATATTCAATATCTTCAAAGCCCGTGACATAGGTGCAAACCAAAGCAGATTTGTCCTCGCGTGCGGCACCTTAAAGGTGGGATGTGGGCGACGCCTAACTGCCTTATCAGGCACAAACGGCTGCAACGCCTCCAGTACCTCAGGATGGTATAGCTGGCCACGCAAGATTCGCCACATGTACTTGCAGAGTGCGACGTCACGCCTCACACGAAGCTGACTGTACCCAACCATACCGATCACGAACAAGCTCGGGTACATCAGCGGGTAGAAAGGATAGACGCCGTTCTCCTTTAAATACAGGAACCGCGTGAATCTATTTTGAATCAAAATGTGTTGGGAGTTCATAGATTCCAGGCTAACGTCAAATCTATATAACCAATCTAGACTAACCTATATATAAATCTATATAACCTTGAATAATAATTTGTAATATATCGTCTTTTCGCACTAACCCATAATCTCAGTAAAGCCGTCCTTAAGACAGAAACTGCATCTTTATAAAACCTGCGTACATCTCATTAGAGAGCAGACACCAACAGAAAGCAATGCTAAACCTCCCCCCTCTCCCAAGAGACGTCCCAAGAATGTTCTTCTTAATCCCGATGATGAGATCATTCCCTATATATTGACCCCTTCCCCCTTTTGTAGAGGACCACAGGAGAGGGAATCCGATGTAATAACACGGTTACACGCACATATTCAAACATTACACTAGTACAGAATTTACCTGTTTAATAATAATAATTAGAAAATTTAATAACACATTTCCACATTTCGAAAGTGGTTGAAGCCGAGGTTCGTAACTCCTTCTGAGGGGCCCTTGAACCATATTACGCCAACCTTAGCTCGAGGAGCCTCACTCCAAAAGCAGGGGCCGGGATGCCTCGGCACTGCACGGGGTGCCGGAAGGATCGTTGCACTCGTTGTAAGTCCCCGCGTAAGAGTCTATTTCGATGAAGGCCGCTTGGCCAATGGCATGCACTTTCCGGAAAAAAATAGGCCTCCCTCGTAGATTGCTACATAAGGGAGAATTTGCCATAATTGCCACGCTTGCCAGGCGGTTTGAAAACCGCAGCTTTTATTATTTCCAAATTGTTATCTGGAAGATGCTGCTGCCATCTCCTGTTTCAGTTTCCGTCTGTCACCTTTTGCGACACTCAGTAGTTGATATTCTTACACCTTCACTTTACCATCAATGCAAATAATGCTCCTATGAAATTTATAGAAAAAAACTTCTCTAAGTATGTCTTAACGTTATTATAATTTTTGAGTAACCGTAATGTGTCAATGTATTGAAGCTAACGATAGTATAAATAATTAGTTACTTAGTTTTGCGCGTGTTCAAAGAACGGCCATTGATATTGCTAATACGATAATAACATGTCTTCATTTAGATATGAATTTCAACGACTTAGCACTAACTGTGGCTGGATGGGGAAAAACAAGACAGGGAGCTCTGACATCTTCACGTTACTTGCAAGAAACCAAAGTCGAGATAGTCGACCCTGAACAGTGTACTAAGTCTTCTATTTACAAAGATAATCTTGTACCTGACAGTATGATGTGTGCCTACAATCTTGGAAAAGATGCTTGCCAGGTAAATTATTCAAATTTATAAGCTTACTAGTTATTAGAGATAGGTATAATGTACCGCGTACTTTTTGAAAATTAGAAAGGACAATTCTATCTATTAAAGTCTACGCAGCGCACGCCAAAAAATGAAATTTTTATGGTAAATTTTTAGCACCATTGATAAAAAAACTGAAATTAACCTTCAACTAGTGACGTACCGTCAATTTGACGTGGCAACTCAAAAATCATTGTATTTCTTAGAAATGGCGTGCCATGACCATGGCCATAACCGCGCTCCCTAGTAGCTGCCTTGTGTGCAGTTTGGCGTCGGCCGATACACGGAACGGATGTCACACGCGCACAGTTTAGGTTAGGTTATAGACTTCATTTTGACATTACGTCACCTTTAGTGTTATGTTTTAGTTGTGAGCCTCAGTCGTACAATTTCATTCAAAATGAATCCAAATGATCACGATTACGAGCGGCTAGTTACTGAAGATTTGGATCAAACTGACAGTGATATCAGTGATCAAGAGGATCGCGAGTTGGATCAAAATCATGACTTAGAATCCGACCATGACACTTCAAGTGAGAGTTGCCGAGTCTGAGGATGAAAAACGAGATCCTGAGATTGATAGCGACTCTAACGATGAGCCTTTGCAAGTAGCAGACCATTCTCTCGTATTTAAAAAAAAAGTGGGAACCGTTCGAGTGGTATAAAGATCCTCACAGAACTAGTGTTAGAACCCCAAGCCATAATATTTTTACAGTTCAAGGCCCAAATATGACGCGAGATTGTACTGAAGAAGAAGACTTCTGGAATATTTTGTTCTCTGAAGATATTTTACAGAAAGTTTTCAACACACTAATAGAAAATTACAAGATATGTGGCATAAATACAAGAAGAAAGATTAGCCCGAGTTGAAAGACATCGATGTTATTGAATTACGAGCACTCATAGGATGCCTGCACTTGAATGATATTTTCAAAAGCAATAAAGAACATACTGCGTCTTTGTTTGCCGCAGATGGAAAAGGAAGGGAAATATTTCGATGTATTTTTTCGCAAGAACGTTTTCTTCTGTTACAAGCAGCATTACGTTTCGATGATCAAAATACCAGAGAAGAAAAAAAAATTGTTCCGGCTATACATATATCCGAGTTGAATGGTATTGGTCAGATGCCGTTATTATAGTAAATTCTTCATGTATATGCCGAAAAAACCGGGCAAATATGATGTAAAGCTCATGTGCATGACTGACGCTTTGACTAATTACCTCTACAGTACTTATATATACTGTGGAAAAGACACAGATGAACAGCGATTGATGCATGAAGAAAAGGAGTACTCGAAATCTACACAGATCATTTTACGGCTGACGAAACCTATAAAAAAATCCAAACGAAATGTAACAAAAAAATGTAAGAGACAATTGGTTTACATCAATCGAAGCAATGAAGCTTTTCAAGGAAAAGGGTCTCACAGAATACCAGCGTAAAATGGCAGCTTGACACTGCTGTGTTTCGTATGGTGTGTGTAGAGAACCGGAGGACCATTTTACTGGAAAAGGGGCATATCATCTTAGTCCTCACGGGTGACGACGTATCTGCATTTTGATTATTTATTGAGGATAAATGTAGATGTCTATGGGTCACAGCAACCACTTACTATCAGGAAGACTTTGTGCTCGTTTTTCACCCTATCCTAAACAAAAAAAGCATAAAAGAGAAACTCCCCCGAATTCAACCCTAAACGAACGAGACCAGTCGGACACACCCTCTTGGTATTACAAAGAAACTAACTATGGTTTCTTATGTACCCAACCGTAACAGAGCAGTTGTTCTTGTATCGTCCATGCACCATGCAACGATCAAGAAGGTGAAAAACCAGAAATAATATTCTTTTATTATCATCATCATCATCATCATTACAGCCCTTCACAGGTCCACTGCTGAACATAGACCGCCGCCAAGGAAGTCCACAAAGCACGGTCCTGAGTCCACCTGCATCCATCGACTTCTTGCATGTCTTACCAGGTCGTAACTCCATCGAGTGGGGAGACACCCTACACTTCGCCTGCCTGAACGAGGTTGCCACTCGATAACCTTTCTTCCCCATGGGTTGTCGGTTCTTCGAGCTATATGGCCGGCCCATTGCCACTTCAGCATAGTAATTCTTTAAGCTTTGTAGGTTACTCTGGTTCTACTGCAGATATCCTCATTTTTAAGTTTATCACGCAGAGAAAAGCCGAGCATAGCCCTTTCCATAGCTCGCTGAGTGACTTTGAGCTTCGTCATACAGCCAGCAGTGAAGGACCACGTCTCAGATCCATAGGTCATCACTGGCAACACGTACTGGTTGCACAATCTAGTTTTGAGGTTCTGAGGTATATCTAACGAGAAGATATGTCGTAATCTTCCGAACGCTGCCCAACCGATTTAAATCCGTCGATTGACCTCTCGGTCGAAGTTGGATTTACCTAGTCGGACTATTTGTCCCGGGTAAACATAGTCATCAACAACTTCGAGCTTAGTGCTCCCAAGAACTACCAGCATAGGTGTGGCATGATTTTTGTTTTGTCCGTGTTCATCTTAAGATCTATCGGTTGGGAGACACTATTGAGGTCATAGAGCATAGTGCTTAGGTTCTCCGTTTCTGCCATAAGGACTATATCGTTGGCAAATTGAAGGTGAGTGATATACTCGCCATTGATGTTGATACCGTATCCTTTCCAGTCCAGTAGCTTGAAAACGTCTGGAGGGACTGCAGCACCGCCCAAATTTCGACGGAATCAAAGGCTTTCTCATAGTCCACATGCGCAAGACAAAGTGGTAGATCTCTTCGGTCTTCTGTATAATTTGCCGAAGGGTATGTATGTGGTCTATGGTGCTAGATCCTTTTCAGAAACCGTCTTGTTTGCGAGGCTGGAAGTCGTCAAGTCTGCGTGCGAGACGATTCGTAATGACTCTCGAAAACAGCACGTAGACGCGTCTCAGAAAGGAAATCGGTCTGTGGTTCTTCAAGAGAGCGTTGTCGCATTTCTTGAAGAACAAGACCACTGCACTTCTGCTCCACGCCTCCAGTATAGTGCCACCGAGGAGGACGGAATTAAAGAGCTTCTAAAGGACTTTAAGTACCGGTTTTCCATACGCTTTCAGAAGCTCCAATGTAATTCCATCCCCGCATGGGGCCTTACCGTTTTTAAGGTGCTGGAGAGCCATTCTAATCTCGCTCAGACTGACGTCCGAGATATCATCGGAATAGTGTCGGATGAGACTTGCTCTCGGATCGTTATTCACACTTGCGTGTGGCTACAACGATGACGTGTACAGCTGCCCATAGAACTTCTCAATCTCACTCAAAATCTCCGGTGTCCCGGAAATGACGCTGCCACACTCGGTCTTCAGCTTCGACAGTGGGCACTTTCTGGCAGACAGATCTCTGGCAAAGACTTTGGAACCCTGGTTCTGCTCGATCGCTTCTTCAACACGAGCAGTATTAAAGTTGTGTAAGTCCCGCCGCATGCGTTTGGAGATCTGTCTGTTCGGTTGCCTGTATGCTATCAAATCTACTGAAGACTGGAACTTCATTTCCCGTCTAACAGCCATGAGATTAAGAGTGTGATCGGAGAGTTTTTGTGTTCTTCTGTGGCGGGTGTTGCAAAAATTAGCTTCAACCGCATGGACAGTTTCCACGAGCTTGTCATTTATATCGTCCACTACATTGCAATATTTTAGGCACTGATTAGGCAACGATTTTGTAACTCGAGCTGAAAGGTTTCGAGACTTTGGATTAGAACACGAGGGGGACGGAGCGTTGACTTCATTAGACGTGACCTCTCCAACTTAACGTTTAGTTTCAGTGTGCCTCTAACCATTCGGTGATCGCTACCAGTTTTCACCCTCGCGATTATTGAGACATCACTGAACAGTTGCCTTCTGGTCGTCATAATGAAGTCAATCATCAAAAATGTCAAAACATTTTTTGTCGAACCGTTGGGGCCCGACTAGGTCCACTTCGTGTGGGGCCGCTTCTGGAAAAAAAAATTAATCATAAAATGTCCCTCTTTCTCTATGAAGTCAGCCAGCTGCTGGCTTCTTAGGTTCCGTTGCCCTATTCCGAATTTCCCTACTTTCAGTTCACCGTTCTCTCTTGTGCCTAGTTTTGCGTTGAAGTCTCCTATTAACACCGTATAGTGGGTTTTGCAGGAATGCATAGCTCTAGAGATATCCTCATACATTTCTTCCACCTCCTTATCGGGATATTCCGAGGTTGGTGCGTAAACCTGTATGACCTTCAGCGAATACCGTTTTGTGATTCTGAGTTAAGGTACGCAACCCTCGTCGACACACTCTCAATCTTTACAACGTTGTTAACGAGAGACTTGTGGACGATAAATCCGAACCCTCCTTGCGACAGATAGTGGCCCTCTCGTGATAGAACAAGTTGCAGGATTCGAGGATTACCGTGTCCTCCCCCTCTCTTCGGACATCGGAACATCCTATAATATTCCAGCGCAACTTGTCTATCTCTTCTTCCAGCTCCAGGATCTTCTCGTCAATCCTCAGGGTGCGTTCGTTATATGTTGCCAGGTTAAGTCGTCGTAGGTGGCAATCAAACCGCCACCGGAGATTATTTGTACCCCCTGCCCCGCCGTTACCATGGTTGCCACCGTAGCCAGGAATAGCGGGGCCGCCGGAGACTGGGGGCCGTTTATTAATGTCATTGCTCATAGGGGGTATATTGTCATAGTTGCCACGCTTGGCGAACGGGTTGGCAACAGCAGTTTTTTAGCTCTTTTTGCTGTTATGAGAAAGATGCCGCTGCCCATCTTCTGCCTCAGTTTCCCTCTGTCGCCTTTTAAGACACCAACGGGAAGATTTGGGGTAGTGAATATTCATACCCACCACTACACGGGGCGGGTAAGAATACTCACTACTTCTTTTATATTCTATTCTTTTAAAATAACACGGAAAATGGTGTTGATGGTCTCGACAAAATGTGCAGTAACTATTCTTGTATTCG